CCTAAGTTAGGATAACCAGGATGATGAATGATTTGTGTAGAGATGAGAGATGATGAAGGGCAAGAAGTCACTTGTGGGACTGGTGTATAGGATATCTAACAATAACCACACAGTAAGTAAGTAAAGTATATTTACCATAGTCCCAGAGGACCATACAGCTGCTCTCCCATTAGAGAGACACAACTAGTGGTGGTTTGACCTGAGGGTCATCATGCCTCAGGGTGAGGGATGAGGTAGAGTGGAGCTTAAAGGATGGAATTATGAGAGGTTATCAGAATAACACTGTGATAATCATGGGAGATTTACTCTATGTATCAATTGAAAAAGTCAGATGGGCCAAGAAAGCTAGATCAGGACATCATAGGATGTTATCGGGATAGTTCTTACAGCAGCGTGTTCTGGAATTGACCATTGAGCAGTCTATACTAGGCCTGGTATAATGCAACAAGATAGAATTAATTAATGAAAGTGTCCCTAGGTAGCAGCAACAGTTTGAGTGAAAAAGAAATGAGTCCAAAACTATTTTAAATAAAAGTTCATAAGGCCAATTGTGAGAGAATGAAAACAGATTTGGCTGAAGTGAATTACTAAATTAGATTAAAGGATTGGTCAATAATGATACAGTGGTAACAATTTAAGGGGATATTTCAGGAAGTATAGAATAAATGCATCCTAATGAGTAAGAAAAATCCCAAGGGATGGATCCAACATCTATTGTTAGAATTAGAATTCCTACAGTGTGGAAACAGGCCCTTCGGCCCAACAAGTCCACACCGAACCTCAGAGCATTCCACCCAGATCCATCCCCCTATGACCCACCTAATATACACCCTCTACCTCCCTGAACACTACAGGCAATTTAGCATGGCCAATCCACCTAACCTGCACATCTTCGGTCCATGGGAGGAAACCAGAGCACCCGGAGGAAACCCACGCAGACACGGGGAGAACGTGCAAACTCCACACAGACAGTCGCCCGAGGCTGCAATCGAACCCAGGTCCCTGGCGCTGTGAGGCAGCAGTGCTAACCACTGTGCCACCGTGTCGCCCTGACATGTCTAGAAATGTTAAAGATAGCATCAAATTTAAAGAAAAAGCATTGGCCAAAGACAGGTAAAAGATCAGAACATAAAAAACAGCAAGGAATAACCAAAAATTTAGTAAGCAGGGAAAATCAAAGAATGAGAGAAAGCTAGCAAAAAATATTAAAACAGCTAATAAGGTGTCCTACAAATATTTAAGAAAGAACGGAGTTAACAAAGAGAGCATTTTATCCGATAGAAAGTGAGCCTGTTGAGTTAATAATGGAAATGAAGAGATGAAAGATTGAATCGAGCAGGTATATTGGATCAGTCTTCATAATACAGGATATATATGACATCCTAGAAGCAGCTATAAATCAGGTAATGGAAGGGAGAGAGGAACTCAGGAAATTTACAATTACCAGAGAAGTCTTAAACTGTTGGAGTTGGGGGCTGATAAGTTCCCAGATCCTAAGGGACTTCATCCTAGGGTCTTAAAAGAAGAGGCTGGTGAGACAGATGGTGCATTGGTTTTAATTTTCCAAAGCTCCTTAGATTTGAGGAAGGTTTGGATTATAGCAAATATAATTCCTTTACTCAAAAAGGGAATGATACAGAAAGTGAAAAAATACAGGCCAATTAACTTCACCTCGGTCATAAAGAGAAAATTAGAACCAGGTTAGATTCAAGGCAATCAAGTAGAGTCAACATCATTTTGTAAAGGGAAAATTATGTTTAAGCAATGTATTTGAGTTCTTTGTAGAAGTAACAAGCTGTGGATAAAGTGGAACCAATGTACATACTGTACTAAGATGTCCAGACGACATTTAATAAAGTGCTGCATCAAAGGTTATTGCAGAAAATAAAAGCTAGTGGTGTATGGGGTAACATATTGGTATGGATAGAAGACTGGCTGATGAACAGGAAGCAAAGAATAAGCGTTAACATGACTTTATCAGGTTGGCAATTTATTGAAATGGTTGGAATAAGAAACAGAGGGTATGGTTGCTAAATTTGCTGATGATGCGAAGGTAGGCAGGAAAATAAGTTGTGAAGCAGACATAAGGAGATTGCTAAAATGATAGATAGGTTCGGCAATTGGGCAAAGGTCTGGCAATTGGAGTATAATGTGAGAAAATTGTCCATTTTGGAAGAAAAATTAAAAAGAAACATATTAGCTAAATGGTGTGAGATTGCAGAGATGCAGAAAGATGTGGGTGTCCCAGTACGTGAAATAGAAGAGGTAAATATGCAGATACGTCAATTAAGTAAGAAAGTGATTAAGAAAGTCAGTAGAATGCCGCACCTTATTGCAAGGGGAATTGAATACAACAGTAAGAGCTAATGCTTCACTTACATTGGGCAGGCACTGTTGAGAGTACAGTATTCATAAAATTATTAAGGAAAGATGTAAATTCATTGAAAGCAGATCAGAGAAAGTTTACTGGACTAATACCTGGAATGGGTAAGTTGCCTTATGAGGAAAGGTTGAACAGGCAGATCTTGTATCTGCTGGAGTTTAGAAGAGTAAAAAGCAACTTATTTGAAATATATAAGATCATAAGTGTGCTTGATAGGTTGGATGTACTGAGGATGTTTCTTTTGTGGGTCACTGTTTAAAAGTAAGGGGACGCCCATTCAAAATAGATCAGATGAAATGTTTTTCTCACAGGGGGTTATGCTTGAAATCTTCTTCAAAGGTAGTTAGAGAAAGTCCTTCAAAATTTTAAGGCAAAGCTGAATATCTTCTTGTTAAGCAAGAGGGTGAAAGGTTAACAGGAAAATGAATTTGAGGTTATAATAAGATCTGCTGTGATTATATTAAAAGGTAGAGCAGGCTTGAGGAGCCAAATGGCCTATTCTTGCTCCTTCTTAATATGGGCTTTGTGTGGAGTTTCACTGGATGTCGCTAGTGCCTGCATAAGAGATGAGAAAGGGTTAATGGTGGAAGATGCATGAAAGCTTGTGATTAAGAATGAGTTTGTACTGATGGTAATGAGAAGGAAGCACCACATGATGAAGCTTACTGAGTTGGTCGCATTGTAAGATTTCCCCAGTGCCACATGAGCATTCCTGCTCTTCTCTGGCTAGATTGACTTTTTTTACTCATAGGGTATAAAACGTCTGCACTCTACCCACTGCTCATTTAGAATTTTTCAGCGTGGTTATGGGCCATGTTTTCCAACACGAAACATAGGAGGGATCTAGGTTGATGGAAGTGAATGACAAAGCAATTGGTGTTGATGCATGAGCAGGAGAGTTGGTGAGCTGTCCCCAGTGAGGGAGAAGAAAGTGCAGAAGGCAGGCAGGGTTAGTAGTTTGAGAGGCTGAAGTGGGTGAAAGCTATTGAGTGGACATGATGCCCATGTATTGTAGCCCATGAGTCTTGGTGAGATGTGTGTTCAGTGGAAGAATTGGAGTGAATGCTGGCCCTGTGATTGTGAGGTTACAGATGCAGGATGGTGGCATTTGCCATCTTGTAAAGTGAAGAAGGTCATTGACCTTCCTGCACTGCTGGATGTCCCTTTTCACCGGGCTCACAGCACTGGCTCATGCTGCAATCTGACTCCAGGGTAGCTGTGCCTTGTGGCATGGCCCGTTGCAGCAATTCTTTGAGAAAATCTGGCCCTCCTCTCCGCCACCCCATCAATCAATGCCTCCAGGTCCCTGTCCTGGAAATAGATAGCTAACTTTCTTTCTTCTGGGTCATTTCTTTGGTGATAACTGTTGAGCATCACAGTGTGAGGCCTGTTCCTGGCTTGTAGTATCTAAAGTGGTGTGTGAGTGGACTTTAAATATGTCAACAGAGGTATATGCATAGAAGTATATCCTCTAATTATAAACTCAAGTAACCACCGTCATCCTATTAAGGATTTTTATAAATCATTACCAATGTCTAACAGGTTAGATATGTATTTCCATATTATGCAATTAATAACGTATTACATCCTCCCAATGGATGCTTCATATTTCTCTGCTTTGAGCTTCAGCTATCATACTTCTTTACATTTCATCATTTTATCCTAAAGCCTACCACAACCCTCAGCACTACTTGCTACTTCGACAAATTTTGTATCACCTATAAACTTTATAATAATGCTGAATGAAGATTGTTTAACAATAAAAGTGCAATGGACTCAAACCTGACTTTTAATAATGGCACTATGAACCACCTTCAAATCTGAAAATCATTCAACACCATCACTCTTTGCTTCCTGTCATTCAGCCAATTTTGTATCTATAACACCACCTTCGCCTTAATTCCATGGACTTTCATCTTATTCACAAGCTTCAGAGCAGCATTATGTTTAATATCTTTTCAAAATCCATACATACTTCTACTGCACTACACCAATCAACTTTCCACGTTACCTTTATCATTTATATTTTGCCATGATTTGCTGATGTTGAGCTGACTCACTGTAGTTTCTAGGCTTTTACTTCTCCCCTTTCTTGAGTTGTGATATAACATTCACAACCCTGGTAACCTTTGGCACTATTCTGTATCCAATAAGGATTAAAAAATTGTGATCAATGTATCTACTTTACCTGTTATTACTTCTTTTGGCAACCTAGGATTAATTCCATCTTGACCAGGTAACTTTACAAATTTTAGTAGCACTGATTTCTCTTGTATTTATTGTAGAAATCCAATGTTAAAAATATCAATAGCTCCTTTTCTCTCAATTTCCTTTCTGCTCATGAAGAAAAATCAAAAGCAAAACAAGAAACTGAAGCTTAGAATTGACAGGAATATTTGTGACTGCTTGACACTGAATAAGGTTCTTTAATTAATTAGGTCAAGCCTGTTTAAAATAGATTCGGTAATAAATTTGTTAAATGGAAGACAAAGGATTAGCATACATTATCTGTTCTCCATGTAAATATTCGCAAATGCTAATTTCAGCATTCATGCAAACAGTATTATCAATAATAAATTGACAATATTATTGTCTAAATCTGATTTTGCATTCTTACCTTGTGAAACTGTGGAGGGTAAACCCTTGCAGCTCCATGGTTTAGCAGCAGTTGATAACATTTCTCTGGTTCTGCTGCAGGACGTACCCCTGTGACCTTCAGAAGGTACTGAAGAGAGGCACAGCCATTGACATCCATTGACCCAACCCGGGCGCCTGATTCTAACAACATTTGCAGAAGCAGATGGTCACAATTCCACGCTGCTTTATGAAGTGGAGATTTGTAATCCCGATCTCGAGCATTCACAGAAGCTCCATAGTCTATAAGCATTCTGCAGATCAGATGATGGTTTGTGCTATATTGTTGTTCCTTCATGTTTAAAGCCCAGTAAATTGCTGTAATAAGTGGTGTTTCCATGTAGACATTAAGACTGTCAACATCTGCTCCACGGTCGATGTAAAGGGCCACAAGTTCGGGTACTCCAAACCGTGCAGCTGTGTGCAGTGGGGTATCTTGATAATCATTGTTAGCCTGTAGATTCAGGTTGGCACCTGTTAAAAAGGAAGGGTGAGACATAGCCACATAGCTCCAAGGTAATTCATGAAAATACTCTGACCAGTTCAACAGAAAAAAGAAATCATGTCTTAGCAAATAAATGTAATAACTTGAATTAAGACAGGAACTCCTGGAAATACAGAGTGTATCAACCAGCAGTTATAAGGTTGGAAGGTGACAGTTTAATGTTTCAGGTAAACCTCTTCAAAAACATGAAGTATTAACCTGTCCCTCCTGCTTTTGATTGCTACTGATCTGCTACATATCTCTAATGTATTTGTTTTTGTTTCAGATTTCTTACATTTGCATGTTTAAATTTCTTGATAAAAACTGAAAGAATTGCAGATGCTGTAAATCAGGAATAAGAACAAAGTTGCTGGAAAAGCTCAGCAGGTCTGGCAGCATCTGTGAAGGAAAAAAACAGGTAAATGTTTCGGGTCCGGTGACCCTTCCTCAGAACCCAGTCACCGGACGCAAAACGTTAACTCTGTTTTATCCTTCACAGATGCTGCCAGACCTGCTGAGCTTTTCCAGCAACTTTGTTTTTGTTTAAATTTCTTGAGTTGTGTTTTCTGCTGGTAATGTTGTGCTGGCTGGTTATTTCAGAGGCAGGAGCAGTGTCTTCTATTCCATCAGAATTATCATCTTCCCAAAGAATTAATATTGGTTAAGTATATCCTGGTTGTTTAAGTGTATTCATTTTCCTTTTATATACCCTATTTATTTCTTTTACAATCTGCCATCCTCACTTAACTTACTACATTAATTTATTTTGGTTTATTTATAATCTTTAAATTATTAAAAGAATTCATCATTTGACATACATTTTGCATCTGGACAGATCTTTAACGTTCTCAGTTCTGATAGAGAACTGAATCATATGGCTTTTTTGGCTAAGTGCATGTCATGTCAGGTTTGGTGTAGTGATGTATTCCCACCATAAGACTGAGTTAGTTTCCTCACTGAATCTTATGAAATCACCCACCATAATGGTCATTGTTGCTCAATGATGAATTCAATGTTCGATTACCACGCACCATTCCGGGAACAAATCACCCCTTAATGGATATTATGGAATTAAGTGGCATTCCTGGCACCATGTTGTAAAACCATCGTACACCCAGACAAGCACTGAGCATCTGCAGCTGCCCTGCATGGTTCCTGATATTTGCCCCAGACATCGCAGACAGGGGGACATCAGCACCTCACTTGATCAGAGGATGATCACAGAAGCCCTACAGTGTGGAAACAGGCCATTCGGCCCAACAAGTCCACACCAACACTTAGAGCATCCCACCCAGACCCATCCCCCTAATTGACACAACCCTGAACACTATGGGCAATTTAGCGTGGCCAATCCACCTAACCTGCACATCTTTGGACTGTGGGAGGAAACTGGAGCAACTGAAGGAAACCCACGCAGACACGGGAAGAATGTGCAAACTCCACACAGACAGTCGCCAAAAGGTGGAATTGAACCCAGGTCCCTGATGCTGTGAGGCAGCAGTGCTAACCACTGAGCCACTGTGCCATCCCCTCTTTGGGCATGGTCCTGGAGATCCATTGGATGAGTTGGTATATAGGCGGGACTTTGTCTTCCTACAGGATCAGCTGTGGTCGCCATGACACCAGACCATGCCAGCCTATATCAAGGTTGGCACCCAGTCTCAGCCATCTGGAGGAATGCCCAGCACTGTAGGAAGAAGGTCAGCATCCTTTTCCCCGTTTCCAGCCTCTGTTTCACCATCTTTTCTCAGATATCTCACAATCACTCTATCTCTGCTACAGTACCTACCTCTCATCAAGATTCATGCTTTAATTACTCATACTACTGCATGCAACAACTTCCCTGCTAGCCCTCACCCAGCTCAACTTGCAACAACACTAATCCTGCATGTCCTCTGCACTCACTTGGGAAACCTCCCCACCTGCACCAACAGTAGTAGCTGAGCCACCCTCTTTCATGTCCAATAATACCTCAATCTCATTCCAAGTGTAAATCAGCCCACAATAGAGCAAAAAGACTGAAGACAGGTTGGTATACTCCCTGCTATTTGGCACCTCACGCATTATGAGGAGAAGATTGTGATTCTGATTGCCAAGGGCCCAACTGGATTCGGAGGCTGCCCATAACTTACTCTGCCAGGATCCCCTGAATAAAAGCTATCTCTCCTTGACTGGACTGAAGCCTGTTGACAAATATGACAGGCTTCCTGACTTGGTACTGTCAAATGGCAAGGCAGTGCTAATGTGAGTCTGGTATTACTGGCTGAAGGGAGCAACGCAGAAAAAGGAAAGGCAAGGCAATGTAAGGCAGGGATGCTGGGAGCATTCAGGTGGGGGTGCGGGGTGAGGGTAAAACAGAGTGAGGACTATGACAGCAAGCAAGGATCTTAGAGATGCAGCCTGGTATTTGGGAGCAAATGGAGAGTTGAACCCATCAAGAATCTGCTCTGGTTTCCAGGTTAAGTTTTTCCAATGGTTAGTTTGATAGTGAGGTTGGTCTGACCACAACAGAAATATTAAAGTGGCAAATTGGGCTGTTAACAAGACGTTTGATAAGCAATGATGAGAGTCAATTGGAAACGCACTGGTGCCTAGCTTAAGATACAAAGGTGGGTCGCGTTGTGGATAGTGCAGAGGGCTGTTCTAGGTTACAAAGGGACATTGATAGGATGCAGAGCTGGGCTGAGAAGTGGCAGATGGAGTTTAACCCTGAAAAGTGTGAGATGATTCATTTTGGAAGGACAAACTTGAAAGCAGAATACAGGGTTAACGGAAAGATTCTTGGCAGTGTGGAGGAGCAGAGGGATCTTGGGGTTCATGTCCACAGTTCCCTGAAAGCTGCCACCCAGGTGATACAGTTGTTAAGAAGGCATATGGTGTGTTAGCTTTCATTAATAGAGGGATTGAGTTCAAGAGTCGTGAAGTTATGCTCCAGCTATACAAAAGCCTGCTTCGGCCACATCTGGAGTATTGTGTCCAGTTCTGGTCGCCTCATTACAGGAAAGAAGCGGAAGTGTTGGAAAAGGTGCAGAGGAGATTTACCAGGATGTTGCCTGGAATGGAGGGAAGGTCTTACGAGGAAAGGTTGAGAGAGCTAGGGCTTTTCTCTATAGAACGATGAAGGATGAGAGGTCACTTGATAGAGGTGTACAAAATGATCAGAGGTATAGATAGAGTAGACAGCCAGAGACTTTTTCCTAGGGTGGAGGTAGCTATTACGAGGGGGCATAGGTTTAAAGTGAGTGGAGGTAGATATAGGGGAGACGTCAGAGGTAGGTTCTTTACTCAGAGAGTGGTAGGGGCGTGGAATGCATTGCTGGAGAGGGTAGTGGAGTCGGCCTCATTTGGGGCATTTAAGCGGTTATTAGACAGGCATATGAATTATAATATAAGTTAGGGGTGGAAGTTAGATAAACCTTAGGATTAGGATAAAAGTTTGGCACAACATCGTGGGCCGAAGGGCCTGTACTGTGCAGTACTGTTCTATGTTCTAAAAGTGTACAAGTGCGACCAGATGATTGCTCAGGATCCCATAAGATTTCAGCCACAGCCTAACCCATGATTTACATATGTCATGATTTCTTAATTTTGTTTCTCTATGTGGAAATGGAGGGTGTAGGTTTCACAATGTAATTCCAGCACAGTAAGTTCCTACAATTACAGGGCATACATATGCAAGCAAGGAAGGCTCCTTTACAGAGTTTGGATACTCCTCCACAGACTAACCCACCCTTAGCCAATAACATATGCCACCCACATAACTGAGGACCAGGAATAGGCATGCTTGAGGGTCCTAATGAGAAATTGAAAATGCATTTTAAAAGAGACAATAAAATTCAAATATTATGCAATATTTTGTTGTTCCTGGAAGTATATTTGCTTAGTATTTTAATGTTACAAAGAAACTTGGAAACATTTTAACAAAAAAAATACTATCACAGCTCACCATTCCAGATCAGCAGTTTTGCACAGGAAATTGACTCCTTGGTTCTGCATAAATGTAGTGGTGCATATCCACTCAGTGAAAAACAGTTTACTTTAGCTCCATGATGTAACAATTTGCTAGCACAGTCCCTGTTTTTCATGTCAATGGCAACATGTAAAGGTGTTTTCCCATTTGGTTGATAGTTTATATTAGCCTGATGATCTAGTAGCACTGCCATACTCTCCAGATTACCAAACATCACTGCTAAGTGTAGGCCCGTTGTCCAGGATGACCCTAGTTTGTAACTTGGCAGCCAGTAACCTGGAAAATAAGAAAGGATATTAGTTACTGTGGTATTGCATTGATTCCAGACTAGACATATAGTTTACTTTTTCAGATAATTACATGACGTCATGACATGGATGATTAAGTATAAGGATGCCTGCCTCATTTGCATACAGGCTGTCAGTGAAATGCAATCAGTTTGGGGTGTTTAGTCTGTCTGTTAAGCATGTGTATTGTTCAGTGAAATCTTTAAGTACAGAAACCAGATTATTGTGAAGTCCATGATATTACAGAAGGTAATAAATTAGTGTTGTTATTAAACTATAAGACATCTGTCTCAACAAGAACCGAGTGTTATGTGGAATTGGTGAACTGTTCAATGCTGTGAGTTTTGTAAGGGCTTCCCATATCTATAGGTACAAAAGTTTTGGAATTTGCTGACATAGCACATCAGCAATTGCACTGTCAGTCTGAGCCAATAACAAATAGTCACCAGTTTTCTGAGAATAGATAACATTTTTTTTGCAAACACTTCAGATGATGAGATGACATTGACGCTTTCCATTAGATTGACAGTGTGAAACGTGTGTTCACTATTCGTTGTCTTCCAGTGCACATCACCAGATTATAGTTCAGTAAGTGCTTCATATAGATGCCTCTGGAGGGATATCAGATTGTCTTTATTGTAGTTTTAAGGTCCTTCTTGTGTGAGGTTAGTTTAGGTCAGTGTACGACTCTTTGTAACAGTATTAGGCTTCGCCTTCATGCACTGCCTCTGTCAATGGTCTTTTCTGCATTTGCCTTGCAAAAATTGATTGAAAATGGAACATTTCCTTGGCATGCAGAAGGTCACCCTTTCCCACACATATTACTATGTTTGGATGTTCTAGTGATTGTGTTTTCAATTGAGTTTGTACTTAGAATGCGTAAGCGGTCTTAATCTGTAAGGATTTTTGTCTACTAACATCCATTCTCTTATAGATCTTTGAGGTTAAATTTCTTCAGTTTGGCTAATAATTTGATGTTTCAGGAATGTTTCCATAGGGATGGATGGGAGCATTCATTTAACAATTCTATTCACTAGCTCGCCATCTGTAAAATCACATAATGAGATATTTTCTCTGCATCTGCTCACAAAGTGGTTTCATGAATTCGACAAGCTTCTGCCTAAAGTTAATTCATTATAGCTGATGAACAGGGAAGTTTACTTTGAATCTGAATTGATATCTTAATTTGGTCCATATCTTTTGGGTATCTTTTTGGCCTTTCACTGTTAATTCTAATGAGTTAGGTCTGTGCAGATTTTCATTCCAATTGATAAGCAAGACTTAATGGTTTGTTTTTGTGCATTGGGATATATCTGAATCTTGAAACCATAGCTCTAAATAGTGTTGAAATACTTTACATTTTGTTAGGAGGTCTGATGTAGAGGATTTTGTGGACATTCTGACAATATGCCTTTGAGTTTCTCTTGCTTGCTAATGATCACCTGCCTTTCTCAAGTGAGTTAAGCTGGCTTCTCAATAAGGATTTTTCTGCTTAACTGCAAGCTGTGTTTTCTATGCTGTTTATTGCTGTAGTAAGCAAAGACGTTGAGGGTAGTCTCAAGCATTTTAGCATGATTTAAGACTGGCAATCATGTGTTTAACCTGTAAATTAACTTGTTTGCTGACCAGACAAGCATAAGAAGCCGTATCAGCACAGTGTTTTCACTGCTGTTGCCCATGTCATATTAATGTTAATGGTCCAATAATCTATTATTTGTCAAGGGTTGATTAGCTCCATGAGTTAGTTTATATAAAACAACAAAGCACATTATAAGCTATGAAACAGACATTACACCAAGCGACCGATCTCAACGCACTGCAGTTTACAGACCAAAGCAGATGAACTACCAGGCAGAACATTATATACATACAATACATGGAGTCTTTAGAGACAAACTCTATTAAAGGCAAGATTCACATACAGAAATAGCACTTTTTTTATTCATTCACAGGATGTTGACATCACTGACTAGCATTCGTAGCCCATCAATCATTGCCCCAAAATGAACCACATTGTTGTGGGCATGGAGTCACATGTAGGCCAGACCAGGTAAGGATGGCAATTTCCTTCCCTAAAGGACATTAGTGAATCAGATGGGTTTTCCTGACAATTAACAATGGTTTTATCGTCAACATTAGGCTTTTGACATCATTAGACTCTGCCATAGTGCGATTTGAACGCAGGTCCCCAGAATATTACCTGGGTCTCCAGATTGCTACTGTAGTGATAATACCACTAGGCCATTGCCTTCCCTATATGTATATGTACATATGTATGTGGATGTGTGGGAGGAGAGATATTACAGCATGTACAGGATGGGTACAAGTTCTAAGTTGAAGGAGGACCTTCACTTTTGAAGTGAATTGTGACTTCAAATTTCAGGACTCACCTGTAGTTCAGGCCTTTGCTTCCTGAGACAATGCATATTTTATAAAACTGTCCATCGACACAATAAATGTCCCACTCTGCTGGTCATCATTGGAGTATGTAGAAACCTTCATCATGCCGAATTACATTGTAACTCTCGTGTGAGATGACTATATCCACTGGTGCAGCTTGAGCATGGAGAGCATTGCCATAAATGGTAACTATTCAAAGAGGCGTTAAGTTGTATGAAAAGTTGGATGGGGCAGCAGGAAAAGAATTATGGAGAAATATTTGGAATTACATATGCTTTTGTGCAGGGAACTATATATTCCTATCAGATAACACCTGCCAGGCATCTTAGAACATTTCTTTTGAGACAATGCTAAAGAAATTAGCCCACTCTTGTTTCACTTCATCTAATTTCTATAAGAACTATTATTCATATGGACATAATACTTTTTCTTTCTCTCCACACATTTTTCAGGGATTGTACAGTTTCAGAGACAGTGCAGCTTGAGAGGTAGTACAACTTCAGCTTCCTCCCCTTGGTATGCAGTCAAGAATTTGGGCCTTTAGATCCTTGTCAACTATTCAAGAACTCTCTCAAGCAGCTTAGTGTACAGGCAGCATTTGATCAGTTAATATAAGCAAATTCTGACTTTTTTCCAAAAAGAGTTTGTACTGAAAAAAATGCCTTTCACAACCACAGGTTGTCCAAAAGCACCTTTCAGCCAATGTAGCAAGTGGAACCACTCTGCTAATGTAAGAAATATTTTAGATGGAAGCAGCTACACAGGAAATAATTTACATCAGCATGACACACTGCTCCCATGTGTACTGGATTCCAAAGAAATTCTGCCCTAAATCAAGAGCTACTAAACCCTTCTTCAAAAGCAACTTATGAATGGATATTTACTATTGTAGTAATTGGAACTAGGTGGATCTTATTGACTATGAGATCCTTGATTGGGCTTGTTAACCTGAGCCCATCAGAGAGCCCTCGTTGACATATATAAATAGGGGGTTCAGAATTTCCTCTTTGCAGGGACTGACTCTGAGTTGGCTGGCCACAGCCAGTGTACTGTGCAAATGTAAACAAAGGGTGACTTGGTGATGGGATACCGGCCTCTGTGCAGTTATTTCAAGTACACAAGAGGTTTAGATTTATTTGGCCAACTCAAGTCTACCCATTAATAACTTTGTTAACCGTTATTTAAATAATTGTGAGAAAAGAATGGCTGCTTATAAATAAACTTGGTAAAATTTGGTTCTGTTGAGTTACCGTCAACATAACTTTATGATAAATTGAAAAGACATGACAAACAACACAGCCATAGGCAAAATCATTTGCTTCTATCAGTTTAAAATCAGAAGCCATTAGATAAGTAGGTCAGCACTTTTTTTTGAACATTTAAACAAATGTGATCATTTTATGAAAATAGTATCTGTAACAGTTAATGATGTTGAAATAGCTATCTAAAATTGAATTTTTGATATCAAATTCTCATTAATTGACATTTTACAATCGAAGCATAGACTTGTAAGTCGATGGACCTTGACTTACGTAGCACAATGCAGCTCATTTACCTTTTAATTTTAATTAGGTTTTAGTCTGATGAATTGTACCTTGTTTATAAGATGCCAAAATCATGGTTTCATCTTCCACTTCAAAAACGGTATCAACATCTATCTTCTTCTTCCTCAACATTTCCTTTAGGGTTTTACAGTCATTATTCTGCAGTGCTTGTAAAAATGTTGCTTTTATAATTCTGGCTGCATGGGCTCGTGGACTTTCTACTTCCATTTTCAAAAGCAGCACAAATAAACTTGCTCATAGTAATCCTCATGAGAAACTGAGCTTCAGATACACTGACAACACAAACACTATCAGAACTTTGCACTACTGGCGTAATTTTATATGTCAGTCATGTGGAGCTTGCTATTTATAGTTATGACTTCCATGAAGGTTAACGGAGTCCATTAGCTTTCTCAATTTTTCTGACCTTGTCCTCACCTGACCTTAAAATGAACACAAACAAAAACAGAAACACATAGACTTCCAGCACGATTTGCTGGACAATAATTAGAAGCAGCAACTTTGATGCTTTCTGTCTCCCAAAGCCTATGGCTCAATGGAAGCTATATGGCCATGAGATGCAGGAGCAGAAGTAGGCCATTTGGCCCATCAATTCTGCTCTATCATTCAAAAAGATCATGGCTGATCTGATAGTTCTCAGCCCCACTTTATCCCCATAACCCATGATCCTCCTCCTGATTATAGAATCATAGAGTCATAGAAGCATACAGCACAGAAACAGCCTCTTCGGCCCAATTCGTCGATGCCGACCAGGTTTCCTAAACTGAATTAGTTCAATTTGCCTGCGCTCAGCGCATATCCCTCTAATCCTTTCCAATCCACGTTAACTGTCCAAATGTCTTTTAAATGTTGTAATTGTACTCACCTCCATCACTTCTTCTGGCAGCTCATTCGATACATGCACCACCTTCTGTGTGTAAAAGTTGCTCCTCAGATGCCTTTCAAATCTTTCCGCTCTCACCTTAAACCTATGCCCTTTAGCTTTGGACTCCCCTATCTTGGGGAAAAGACCTTAACTATTCACCTTATGTGTGCCTCTCATGATTTTATAAACCTTTGTAAGGTCACTTCCTAGCATTCTACGTGCCAAAGAAAAACATCCCAGCCTATCCAGCCTCTTCTTACAACTCAAACCTTCCGGTCTCGATAACATCCTTGTAAGTCGTTTTTGCACCCTTTCCAATTTAATAACATCCTTTATATAGCAGGATGACCAGAATTGTATGCTATTCTCCAAAAGTGGCCTTACCAATGTCTTGTAAGCTGTAACATGATGTCCCAGCTCCTGTACTCAATGCTCTGACTGATGAAGGCAAACGTGTCAAATGCCTTCTTCACCACCCTGTCTATCTGTGACACCACTTTCAAGGAACTATGTACCTAGGTCTCGCTGTTCGACAACACTCCCCAGGGCCCTACCATTAATGGTAAGTCCTGCCCTGGTTTGTCTTACCAAAACGTGACACCTCGCATTTGTCTAAATTAAACTCCAACTACCATTCCTCAGCCCCCGGCCCAGTTGATCAAGAGACTGTTGTAATCTTAGATAACCTTCTTCACTGTCCACTGTACCATCATTTTGGTGTCATCTGCAATCTTACTAACCATGCCTGCTATATTCTCATTCGAATCATTTGTATAAATAACAAATTACAATGGACCCAGCACCAATCCTTGCAGCACAATGCTGGTCACAGGTTTCCAGTCTGAATATGATCATAAAATCTGCTTCTAATATTAACAAAATTCATAACTCTGTTAGATAAAAAACATTACATCACAAAATCATACTGGCAGCAAAAATGCTGGCATATGCTTAAAGTCTATTTTATATGTTACTTAACTGCGTAACTCAGTGAGATAAGCAAGTTTGTCAACAAAATCGAGCAACCTGTCCAAAAAGCTGGCATGTTCTTAAAATCCATTCTCTGTGATACTAAAATGTATATCTTGGTCCAATAAGTATGTTTGCACAACAAAATAAGCCTTCCTTGCAATCACCTCCAAAGTGCTAGCATAGTCTTAAAATCAGTGGTATTTTTACTGAAATACGTAACTCAGCCAGATAAGCAGGTTTCCACAACAAAATCAACATTTCTAGCAGCCTCTCCAAAAAGTTGGCATGTTTTTAATGTTGGCATGTAGTATATGTTACTAAAATGCATAACACAGAGTAGCAACTTTGCAGATGAAATTCAATTTTTCAAATAAACATTCCCTAAGTGTTGACATTTTCTTAAAACCTGTTGTACATTATACTAAAATACAGAACTCAGTGAGATAAGCGTGTTTGTGCAACAAAATCAACATTAGAAAGCTGTATATTTCAGCCTTGGATATATTTAATGAACCAGCTCCGACAGCCCTCTGTGATAAAGAATTCCACAGATTCACTACCTTCTGAGAGAAACAAGTTCCTCTTTATTCCTGTCTTAAATGGATGGCCTGTTACCATGAAATTATGCCCTTTGATCCTTGATTCTCACACCAGAGGAAACAACCTCTCTGTATTTACTTCTTTGCCACTGGAATCTCTTCCCAACTCTTCCAGGGACCAGCTGGCAATGGTTGACCCCAGATGATGTCTCTTCAGGTTGGGAGCAGTAGGGATTGGTAGCATTCCAGTTCAAATTATGTCAAGGGGAATACCAAGTCCCTGAATTATTGTTCTCATGCTTATACTTGGAAGAAATAACGGAGACATTAAACTTTTATTGGTGAAAGAATCTCAAAATATGAATACAAGCATACAAATTAATAAAAAACTTTATTTGATTTCCCTTTCTGAAACAGGCATTTGTTTAGATCTTGAATTTTGTCAGAGATGTAGCTGTTCATTTTTTGCAGCTCTTTCATGGCCTCTGCAGTTAGCCTCAAGATGACCACAGTGCAAAATGCACATAAGGGATCTGCAGCGAAACAAAGGTTAGTCAAAGAACACATTACTTGAGAAAAAGCCTTTCACAGTATGCAATTTTAATTGGACAACGTGCCAGCTTCTCAGTTATCCCACTGTTCACAATTTCAAGAAGGTTCTGCTGCAGACTGCCCTCTCCCGGAGTGTCTCAGATCCCCAAATCTCAACAAGTAAAGCGTTTGTCCCCTGGCTTTATATTTAGTTCCAGAGTTCCTCTGAGATTTCAATTCTACACAGCAATCACAGAACGAATTTCTGACTTTATTCAGAAAAGCAAAAAGGATGTTCTAGTCTAATTACAGAACTTAGCTTGAGCACTGCAAACCTGTCTTTGAAAAGCTACTCTCAATATCCTCACTCTATATCTTCACAAATTTCAGACACTCTCCCAGCACTAACTAACAATGGCAAAGAGGGACTATGACCAGCATAATCTACTATCACATACCTGCATTGAACTGCCCATTGATGTCTTGAAGATGCACTTCCATTGCCCTCATTGGTGATACCTTCAGTAAAGCCAGCTGGCGTTCCTCATATTGTGCTCATTTGCTGTATGCTGAACAAAACAACAATACTAAGAGGTCTGAAACTGGTTGCAAAGGAGGACCATGAGCACCACTCTTCCTTGGTGTTGGATGGGGGAAGGAGGAGGAGAAGGTCAAAGAGGTGCTCCGTAGAAGCCGAGTGCCCAGCAGTTGGAGGAAGATGGTTAATGCTATACTTCTGTCCAGAGGATCCTTTATGAATTGAAGTGTGATGCAGTTTTATGAGAAAGTTGTCACCATTTTTAATAATTGGCAGCAAGATTATCGTTCTGCTAGGCAAAACAGTGACGAAACAAAGGGATACCTTAAAGAGAAGATAAATCAATAGCAGAGTAAACACATTCACATGAGGAGAATAGGTAATACGCACTAACTAGAGCTCTTTGGATGACTAAGGAAACAGAAATTAAAATGAAACACAATAATAAAGCTTATGATAAATTATTAATAACCCATTAAAGATCTAAGAAGGGAAATGTAGCAACATTTCTCAAGTACAAAGCTTTGTTGCACAAGGAAATGTATTTGGGAAATGTTGCTGTTATATCTTCATCCTTATATCTTTATTGAATCATCAATAATTTGTCATAAGCTAACCCTAAAGAGTTGTAGATGCTCTGTTGTTGATTTTATTTAAGGCTGGAATGGATAGATTTTGGCCTTTTGTGGAATCAAAAGACACAGAAAGTGAGCAGAAAAGTGGAACTGAAGTTCAGGGTCAGAAATGTCGATAATGAATGGTAAATCAGGTTGATGGGCTGTACGGTCAAATCCTGCTCTTGTTTGTTGTGTCTTTATGTTGATTTACTGTCATCTGAAGATTCGTTTATTCAGTCTGTACTTCCATCACTTAGTAAATCAACTATGCACAGGAGGCGCAACAACAATACCGATGCATTACTCCTACTCCTAGGTTGTCCGTTACTGTATGGATGCATTTATGTTGATTGTAAAAAAAGATACTTTTTGTAAGAAATCAAATTCATCCTGTGAAGAATATATTCATTGAGCGTGTGTTGACCAGGCATTGTGATTTGATAGGCAATGAGGATGCTTAAGGATGTCCCAGTATCTTCTAAATAATTGTTGCGTAATCATCTCCAGATCCTGAAAAGTGCATCTCTCTCATTCTGACATCATTTGTTTTGCCTCCTTGTTGACTGCAGTTCTCCTTTGGGTTCTTGTCCACAGTAACAAAATTATCTCAACAGCTTCTTTTATACAGAGATAGTAGGAACTGCAAATGCTGGAGAATCTGAGATAACAAGGTGTAGAGCTGGATGAACACAGCAGGCCAAGCAGCATCAGAGAAGCAGGAAGGCTGACATTTCAGG